TGAACTTATATACTTCACACAAACCATGCTCAGTGACTATGATGCCTTGAAGTGTTCTTATTCTTTATTAATATTCAATTGTAGGTAGGTAGGTAGACAATGTAGGTTGAAATAGCACGCGCAGTCATTCAACATCATTCTTCGAACTAGAGAACTTCTGATGCCTGTTTCCACCATATTACACATTGCCATAGCACAGACAACTTAACTCATTGTAAACTGGATGAGCTTTACAAATGAACAACTCGTCCACATTGCTGCATATTGCGTTATGTAATAACTAAATTTATTCGCTGCGGCGTGTTTGTTTAATCCACAGCATTGAATGTTACTCCGATCAGGGACTGAAGTGAAACCAGAATAGTGGAGGTGATGCATACCTTCTAATAAAGTGACACGTTAGTTAACACCTTGACCGTAGATTTGCAGGGTGTATGCGTTAAAATGTTTACATTTTAGCTGCATTTTAATGAATTGCAAACATGTATATTTATATTGCTTGGAAACAATTAATGAATGACTTTTTATTTGGTTAGTTCTCCGTTGATATGCTTAAGAACTAGCGACTGACCAGCAAAAAACCGATGGTGATAGCTATCAAATTAAATCTTTGACAGGATAACTAGCGTAATCGATTGTAAAAGATGTGTGCTTGCATGTAGGTTGGAATTTAATTAAATAGCTGACTATGTATATATAAACTACTATGGTATGCGATTATAATTACTTACTTTTTCTAAGACACAGGAGGGTAGGCACCATAACTACAGCATCTGGCTGCGCTGTAGCTGCTGATAATAACAATTACATATCCTGTTTACATTCGTGCTAGTTCTCCTTACACACTAGCTAATGCACATCATGACAGCCAATTGTAGAATCATTTTGAGTAAAGCGAGAGCATATGTTATAAAAAGTAGGACCCTTATTACTAGTGTTTGCTGACAAGGTGCATGCGTTTGAATAATATTAAGCTCCGTCGTATCAACCAGCAAGCAACCGTCTCTTTATTGTTCGACGTGTGGGTTGCAATTGCATTAAAATGATGTGACTACGTTGTTTACTTTTCATCGGAAGACATGTGTTATGTTGAACCTTTTATTATGTGTATTTTCTAGTTGTCGAAGTGACAGATAGATTTATGAAGCTGGAAACGTTTCCACAATCTTGACCCACTACGGGTTATGCTACTTTGTGGAAGTGGAAGCGGATGGTGAGTGCCTTAAATTTACGGACAACGTCTATATTTGTGCATAGTTTACTTGAATAGACTAAGGATATTAAAATTTTGCACTGTTGTAGTGACCTGGTATACACACGCACTCTCAGTGGAATGCTAATTTTATGCGAGGTTACTGAAGAACTGTTATGGTAGTCCAATGTGATAGCATTAGTTCACTGAACCTAACATTTATATCCATCTAACTATTATTTATAATTGCAGTAACGATCGTTTCGGACTGAATGTGATATAAATAATGAAAATGATTGTGTCTTCGAACATGCGTGACACTGACCAAATACGTTATCTAATTATTCACAATATATTTGAATAGCAGAGAAATCTTTTTGAATTTTACAATATAGTTGACGAGTTCGGTTTGCGGTGAACAATTATTTAAAATTAATAACATCGCGGTTAGTATAGCATAGGAATCCATGCTGGTAAACCAAGCGGTTCAAGTAATGTAATACGACCTAAGGACTTGTTTCTTTACCCACTAAACCTATAACATTTTATATTCAATGAAAATTGTCCCAGGTGTTTATCTATTATAGACGAAAGACCTAGAGGCGATGAAAGTAGTTTACAAATTGACTGAAATTGTATGGTGCCAAATCTTCCCCATTTCGCCATCAGAATGAAACATCGCTTAATCCAGTGCTCAGCACATTCAAAACTAACTTAAATTTTGGATGCAGTTGGTTAGCTAATTGTTCTATTTTATAAACGTTTTAAACGTTCACCATAAGACTAACACAATTTCAAAATATGATTTGTTTAATAGTCGAGCATATATCACTTCTTCTCCTTTGGACGTAATGACATATGTACATTTTTCATGTGCTATATTTTGATCCCAGAATGCGAACTGACTAGCATATTACAAAGCTTTCAAGCAATATTAGCGGCATGAAAATATTGTACGCTTTTATATACCAAAGCAACATAACTAGTTAGTTACCCATATGGACATTCGAAAAGGTTAATCTAGTCATGTAGATTATAGCTACAATTGTGAAAAATTATTTTAACATGGTTGTTGAATTAAATATATTGAACAACAATAATAAAAGTTGATTATCGAATAGATGAATTTGAACGCTAAAGTCTTTTACGATCAAAACGCTGTTACATTTCTAATATTGGTGTTGCGTATCCTGCTAATACATTTGAACAGCAAAGCCTTCATTTTCTACAATGCAATAATATATTGAACAGGTAAAATAATTTAAAAACAGTGCACTGAAAGTATAAAACTGCGAACTCCTGCCACAGGTTTGAAAACTGCAATCCTAATAACGACGAAGTCTGCTCTTTTCTACCTACTGTTGTTCTAGTCCGTAACATACATTGCGTCTTGGATCCGCAAGAGTATGACTATTTGATCTACGGATACAACGCAGTGGGATTTCGCATATGGCTACATTTTACCAAGAAACAGGCGATAGCCGATTTGAAAGTAGACGAGCACTCTACATACGTTGATCTTCATTCCGCGGATGCTCAAATCAAAGGCATTCGTCCAAACGAAGTGATTGTCGGCTCAGATTTTGACACGGTGATCCGTGTTGTTGGGAACTTGAAGGTAATTATTTGTGCGTAATTTATTTTTATAAGTCTCGTTTTGCTTCCTGATCTCAAATAACCATTGACTTAGTTCATAGCTTGGTTACACCGGCATGCATAGATCTCAGGCGTATTAACATCTCTTAGGAATCATGATTTTAGTTTAGTCGACTAAATGTACGTCAGCATTCAATGGTTCGCTATTGGGGATTATAATATTTTCATGTTACCTATTTATATTCTTATCAAATTTTAGCAAGTCAGTCGCAAAAGCAGTAAGATAGCGGTATGTTTTCAACTTAAACAGCAAGAGTAGGAAGCTTCTGTAAGCAAACAGTGACGTTATATTTGTTACTGTGTAAGGCTTATTGGTTGCTTTTAAATCTGTGATTTCCACTCGATTCCAAGCAAAACAATGTTAAACCGCAACGGCCTTTTGGAACAATATACTTGGTGAATTCAATTATATTTTAGTACTGTAATAATGCAAAGGTATAATATTTATTGAGAATAGACCGTGCGGATTATCTTAACGCACCATTGTAATTCATCCATATCTGCTGTATCCAACAGATTCATTAGGACCGATATCTAAGTTTATTGCTAATTGCCCGATTAGGTAATTGCGTAATTCCTTCAAATTGCAAAATGTATGGCAGAGCTGATTACATTTGCGATGCGGTTGTTAGTATTTCGGTTCATTAATTGCCTTTCATGCTCAAAAAACCACATATAAATGTGCGAAACGCCTAGTAGACAGAGCCATATGTGCATGGAAAACGACGCAAAAAACACCTATTACAACTTGCCAATTTGTACAATCAATGTTTTCTAATCAAACTGAATGATGACAGGTGTTGACAGACAAAGGGGCCGCCAGTTTACTGATACAGTAATAGCGAAATATGGCATTAAGTAACATGTTGCAAATGCCCATTGGACCTATTTTGAGACTTATATGTTATTTTGCTATTTCAGGTTGATTCAAAAACATTCATCCCAGACTGTTTTTTGCTCAACCTAATAATGTGGTGCAGGTTAAAATTGACATTTTTCGTTTTACTGGTTTAAAAAAAGTTAAAAATCTACTCCAGCTATTGAGAGTCGATTTCCAAAATTCTATTGCAATTAGGGGGTGTAGAGCATGTTCAGATTAATTTTTGGAATATAAATTAACTATTAACCACATGTTACTTGCTACTTTATGCGTTACGATTAAATCATTGCGGCGTCGATTCAACGGTATTGTGTACTAATAAATGTTTCAAATTAGCTATATTTAGGTACACCAAATATATTAGTCAAGTAGTACAATAAAATAGTAATTAGGGTTGAATTGGAACTCATGATTTTCAAGGTAAAACAAATTGCTGACCACAGAATAAAGATTTGCAAACAATAAAACAGAAGTCTTGAATAGCGAGGCAAGAACCAAAGTACTGCGTCTCTATTAGAAACCGCGTCAACTAAGAGAAGAAGCGCATGTGTACATACATGTGTATTGCAAATCATAAAGCTTGGATACGCACAAGCTTTGCTGCAAATGTGGCGGCGAAAGGAAAAATAACTAATGAGAACTGGAATAGTTAACATCGGACTGTTGAAATGTTATCAGTTAGGTAACGCACATTATCCTCATCATTCACTGGAAGTATGCATTTTATTTATTGCATAGCATTGTGGATCCAAATGGTTGTGGTATACATAGATACAGTTATTTTATTCATCCGGCTGTTATTTATAGGCATTAAACTAATGGTAGTTACATAGAAAGCAAAAATAAAATGGTGAAACCAAATGTTTGTTGTGTTGTATCAAAAGTGGCCATCAGTTTTATTATCTATTCTTTTATTTAACAGGTAGTCACAGACTGATTATATACCGTGGCTACAAGTGTTCCCTATTTAACATGAATATACGTTTTATCGTTCTGTGTTTATGAGTGGCTATGCAGTGTCACGAAAATATACACACACCGCTTCCACTGTGTAGAAAATGAGTAAATGTGTTCAAGGGTTTAAGCTTAAGTAGATATTACCTTTTACCACATATGATTAAATATATAATTTTTTTATAAATATGCGAAACCGCATTTGTAACATAAAATATTCAAGGTAAACATGTTAGACGTTTATCGCAGTGGTCGTTTGGTTGCAATGCGTTAAACGGTGCTGAAGAACGTAACCCCAAATTTTAATGAAATTTGTAATATTTGTTCACGACAACTGTGTTTAACGAAAGCAAACATTTGAGGTTACACTTAAAGTTAAAAAGCACTACGCTATCACATTTGTTTTTCATTAAACTCATCAGGTAGATATAATAAAAGACGCATCTAATATTATTCGGGACCTAACATATTAGTTAGCTGCATAAGTGCATTTTGTTTGCCACACCATGTAAATTTTGATACTAACTGATAATTGCTCCTCAACTATGGATAAATGTGTTATTGTAGGTAAAATTTAATTTTAGCAAGGTTTCCAAGAAGCTTGCTTTTTAGTTATTACGATTTATTTTCTGATGCCTGTGTCAAGGTTCAACATACCACACTCTCTATAAATGTCTGAATTAAAATATTCCCCATTCCTACAATGCGTTTTTTGATTAAACATTAGTAAACTTGTGGCCAAGGATGTACTAAAAAGGGGCATATTTATTATCATTTTATGAGCAGTTAACCTGTTATAAAATTGGCCATCATATGTTTGCCTGTATAAGTAAACTGTCATCGAATGTCAAAAAATGGTACGGTATGCAAATTTTACCGTTGGAAGAAATTACCGTGAATGAATCAATTGCGAATTCGGAATGGGATGGTCTAGATCGTAATAAAAACCACGAAACCTTGACCCTGAACAGAGGGTAAAGAGAATTGTTCCTTGGTTATGGTGTTGCCCATTTGGACAATTTAAGTGCGGACATTTCCACAACATCATAGGCGAGGTCATGCGTTCACGTGTGGTAGACTTAGGTTGCAACAGCTGATGGAGATTGAACGTAATTATAGTCTGATTCTAGCCAATGTAGATATTGAATTATTTCTGATAATTGCTACTCCATGAAACGAAACTTTGTCATTTGCAGAGTCATTGCTTCCTTTGAAGGTCTGCCAAATTGCCATAAACATTCCAAGTAGAATTTCAGTTGCTTATATAACCATCCTTAATGTAATGTTAGCTTCAATCAGCTATTTGTGGTCTACATTCGGATAAGCCGCTACTGGATTAGTAAAGTAACAGAAGCACACAAAATTAATTTGCGAAAGGTATACAACTGGGCCGGTTTCCCTTAAATTCCTTTCTGAGAATATTAAATGAGTAAAATAGCAACTTATTGCTTAAGCACCATCTATCCTGATTTGATGTGTAAAAACAGTAAAAATCTATCAAATACCTTGCTTGATACCAAATACTAGCGTCTCTTAAAGATCATAACCTAAGCACATTCATAAATGCGGAGCTATACCTAGGTCCAAGATTTGCTTTTGCGTTATTATAAATCATCTGGTTTCAGACTGCACATATAATAAAATAGATTCGCAGGATTCTTATAAAACAATCATGTAAATTCTTTTACCTATGCTCCCTAAAACATAAAAAATAGCCTACTTTCTAATAGAAAGCAAACAGTGGATATATGTGTTGGAGATAAGCAGCAAAATGTTCTTAAACATCAACTATAAAATTATAAGGATAGTAGGATTCTTTTTAGCAAGACAGATATCATTCGAGAAATAGGAATTGAAACCAGGTAAGTATTTTAGGCTACATGTGCTCCCTACTGAAATTAATATTTCACTTTTTAACTTAAATCAACTCGTTTCGGATGCAAAGCATTGGGGAATCAGTTGAGTTGGAAGCTGAGCACAAATGTAACATGTTTGTTTCACGCCCTCAACATTAAACCTGGTTTAAACTGAATATTTTAGCGTGATTTTTAATGACTGCCGCAGTTACTATATATAATTAATTCCAAATTGTCAATACGTCTGTAGTAAAATATAACAATCAAAGCGTACATGAGGAGTTGAAAACACAAAGTATTCGGAACTTTAACCTGACTAGTCATCGTTGCACACAGTGAAATTTCCTTGCACATATATTAAATTCCGCAGTAAATCATTATACTTCGCTTAGCTTTCCCTTATTTAAACTAAAGTTGTGCAAGCCTGGTCCTCTATTAATGTTAAATTTAGGGTCTAAGCAAAAAACAAATCACTGACGTCATCGTCCAAATCTTCGACAAATAGCTGTTTGAATATGGTTGTTCAACTGCATGTCAGATAAAAATCGCCCAGTTTCGTTACCTTATTAATTTCATAAAATATATACAAGAAGTGTATGATGTGAATTGCATTGTACAGTACTTGATATATATTGCATACACCTTATTTTGAATCAAAATGTTTACCAGCGTGAGTTATCCAAATTTAGGTTTAAGCATAGCTGATTTATATTTCCACTTAGTCGTCGTTCAAACTTGTACCATTACGATTCATTGTCCCTTAAGGAAGTATTTTTTACAGCATAGAAATTAGAGAAATTAAGAGCCTTTTTACGGATCATAGTTTCTAGGGAGATAGATTAGATTTCTTAAAAAACAATGTTAGTTTGTTGTTTTACACATTGCTCAGAGGATATGCGGCGATTTAAGCGGCGCATTCCTGTAACATGCATTATAAAGGCAAGTTGTCTATCGCATATACTACACCCATTCATTTTAAGGCATTTGGTAGACCGGTTTTAATGACTTCGCGTAACTGGGCTAGCAACTCGCTTACATAGCGGATAATGTTTGGCCCTGACTCATTAAAAATAGATATCTGCAGTGGCTATCCAGTGGTAAAGCGACAAATAGTTATCTTTGCAGACTACGTTGTTCGTATCTATATGATTTTTCCAGGCTCGTACAAGATGTCAAGCAATCACTTACCCATCATGCGGCCTATCATGTTTGGGTACTGAGAATGATGTCAGTGAGCAGGATAACGCGTGTGAGTCAGTAATGTTGTGGTTACGCTTTTATGTGTTGTACTCGTTTAAGTTGGTTCTCAATTACAGTAAAATGACATATTTGTACCTGGTGGTATTTTGCCCAGATGGCTCTAGCTTCGGTAAGTGAAATGCACACACCTATCACAACTCTACTTAATCTTTTCTTTTAGTTTCCTAGTGCACCAATCTACAAGCAGGTTAAACAAACCCAGTCCTCAGCAAACGAATAAGTCTTAGATATGTACATAGAATTTTCCAGGGACAGTTTGTTAGCAAATTTAATAATAAGTTGCGGAGTTCGTAGAAGTCAAGACAAGGAAATTAAGAACAATTCTTTGCTAGTTGCAGTGGGCAAGCAAGCGAATTTTCATTGTGTCATTTTTATACCAACGCGTCACTATTCAAATAGACAACTTATGGTGTTTTGTTTAGAGGCCAGTAAAAAAAGGTAACCAAGAATTTACTCAGCAGATACACAATGTACTCATGTCAGTATGTGGAAAATCACTGCTTGCATCACAGAAAGCATAAGTGCTTATAAACTATTTAGTATCAATAAATGAAAGTAAATATGTCCTAGACTGCAACACATAGGACTGTTCAAATAAGGTTTGTATACAAGTAGTAGAATTGTTTCAAAAAGATGGAACAGTAACTTAAAGCCAAGAGAAAAGGGAATTCGTAGATATATGAACAAGCGAAAAGTCCGCAACCAATTTACTCCATAATGTCTACAAGTTTAACATATATTGGTTAGGAGTGAAATGCAGTTGCCATACAGGATACTGTACCATGTGCTGTCAATCAAATCGTTTTAACAATTCTACAAATCATTTAAGTGATGGTATTGTCGTAAATGCCAGAGCTTTCAACAATAACCTTTTATTGATTTATAGGCTTACATATATTTTGGTCAGACTACAAAATTACTCTGACCTTTTGCTGACGATGTTATATTTTTATGTTAGACTACGGCTATGAAACTAGTAAAATAAGCATAATTTATGTCTGGTGGGAGGACATGGAGGTGGTTTCTACAGAAGACGTTTAGTGGTCATTATTACTTGGTAGCAAAGCTATTTGATAGTAAGCGAATGGGGATTTTCCTTCTTGTATGTTAGGAATGTAAATTCCACGTTTAGACATCCTGCATGGTCAGTATTCAGCAAAGATTTTATATGATTGCAGCAGCGGATCAATTTCCTTTTTGACACGGTTTGTCGTGGTGCGCTTTGTCTCGCTGCGCATAATCACTTGGTCATTGTTTCGTTAATTAACATACACAAAATTTGCGGTGCGAATAATATGGCTAGATATGCATCTGAAAGAAAAGCTCTGAATACAGTGAGGCTTCCATCTTATAGGCGTCCGTGCTTTAATCTAACGCATAAGCAAAGCTATTATTGAAATTTAAAAAGGTGGTTCTATTGAATTACATGCTGTAGTCTGTGAAGCGATTTGACGCTTTAGTCTGCTTAAAAATACGCTCTCACCACTTAAGTGCAGCTATATAATGATCAGCTTGGTTATGTCACCAGTGCGAAGTGGATAACATTTGTATCCTTAGGAACGGAAACGCATTTTATTCTCTGATTACAGTTTGTCTTGAATTGGAAGCACATATTTAGTAAACCACGCATCCTATCAATAAATGTTTGTACCGTTGGAGTAAACGGCTACAGTTACAAACAAGGATTTTTCCATGGTATTTCTGATAAGACTGAATGGCAATCATGTAGATTGTGTCACACGCATCATTCACCTGCATTGATTGTGGTCAAGTATCACTATTTCCATCTTTCTTATTGAACCTAACCTTCTTACGGCTAAGCAGTAATCAGGAAGGACTAAAACATTTGTAATCTTCTATAATATCTGTTGTGTTTCCCAACTTAATAATTTAGTATGGGTATTTGGCTTTTAGTGTTCCGTAGGTCTTTGGTAGAAAGCTTGAATCACGGACAGGGTTTGACCTTGAAAGACTATAATTTTGCATCAAATATTGCTCATTTGATATTAAAAAGAATATTTTTGACTTTGCCATGACACAAAGAAAATAAGCTGCGTTAAAGCATCTACAATTCAGTAACACTTCCTTCCAGTAGTTTGCAAATTTTCAAGAAAACTGCTGTTATATATCTTTGCTGGTGTTCCTATGCGTTGTTTCTATAAGTTAAAATAGCAAAAATGCCAATATTTAGTACCATATGGTGTTTTACATTTTGAGCTAAAGTCTGATAACTATAGCCGTATATATCACCATTTGTCCAAACCTTGGATATTTATAATCCCTTTTTGGAATTATTATGCTATATTTCGGAGTAAAGTTTACATAATTGCAATGAAAAATGCTCGGCTACTCGTCCCCGTCACATGTGTATGTATAGAAGATATAATCACACTTATTTACTACGGGAGTTTTGGTAACCTCATACGGTTTCCTTGTTTCCATTACCATTTAGTTAAAAACAAAGGAACCTTCAAATGGCAGCCAGAGAATTTGCATTCAGGGAAGTTTCCAAATATACCTGAGAATTCTTGCTTGCCATATGTGCTCTCCGCTTTACAACTTTCAAAATCTTCCGTATATCAGAAACTGCTGGCACTGAAAAATCCAACAATATTTCAGAGAAATGCACTTGCGGTCTCGATGGGTTTACGCATTCAACAACGCGCTTTCCTACGACTGGCCAACGCTACCGCATTTGAAGAGCTGCGCGCATCACTGGACGCGTTTGGTGATTTACAAAATGGACTAGAGAACATTTCAACACAAGTCTATAATATTCGCCGGCGCCTAGGGAGCGATGATGTGAAATTTACACAGGTACTTGTTCAATAAGTAAAAATATGCGTTATGGAAAATATCGGGTATGCAGGCCGAATGAGAAAAGCTCCCTAGTAATTCAGAGCTAAACAAACTCTGCATATATATTTACTATAGTATTAATGCTAGGAAACCAACAAGCTTTTGACGGAATTGTTTACGGAATTTTCTAAATTAGACCGCCATTGATTTTAAGCCAGCTGCTTATGTTGAATTTAATGAGGCAAATTACTATTTAAGTTACTTGTACATTTTGGTTGTCTACTGTTGTCACCTCAAGCTTCCGTGAATCTTCTCTCGTACCATATAGAGTGCCATGAGTATGATGTATCGGAAAAGTATCCTTTTGCTCTAGAATGCATCCATTTGTCCTTTCAACCAAACACCGAAGAGCTTAAGCATCGTAGTTAGACTGATTTTAAAGTTAGTGGATGATGAAAACATATTTTGCCGGTTTCAAATAATTAAAAGTATGTGGTGCTTTTTATAGACAAAACAAACAATAGGCAGAAAGCGATAAAATGATAAACCTCCAACTACTACAGTGCCAATGGCTCGATAAGACCTTGTACTTCCTCTTATTTCCTTGGTTTACTTTGGTCAGCTGCACCTTATTCTGTTACGTTTCTTACAGCTAGGAAACTACTGATTTACTCTCATGCGACAACGAACTGGTCATGTACTAGCTAAATGCTACTTGCCGCTTCTATCAATTTGTTAGGGGGACGACTGATCCAACAGCGCTGCCTAGAAAAACCTTACTTGCATATTTGCAATTTTATTTGAACATTATTAGCTATTTCCTATTTTTAGTTAATTTGACACTAGAAATTTTTACACTAAGTACTGAAAATTAGCCTTACCCATTTTAGGTAAAGGTGTCTCGCTTTAAAGTATAGTCTGCAATGATTTTTATGTTTTAATTTGTGTTAGAGCAAAAAATATACAGTGGGCTTTGCGCTAGACCAGTTTATGTTTGTTCTTTCAATCTACTGTATGCGATTACAAATACCAACTCGAAGGTTTTTGGGTTATGTGATTGACTTATCCTCTTAAATGCATGTACAATAGTGACTGTTGTAAGGGATACACAACATACTTTCTTTCGAGGAAATAGCTTATGTGACAACACTATATGTTGACATTAATTATCAGAAACACTGCATGAGCGCCGCTACATTTTTACCCACATGACGCACAAGATGCATTTTTGGATTCCCATGACATGAAGCGTAATAGCATCAAAAAGTATCAAACGCTGCTCTCAAATTGTCCTGAAATAAATCCCTATATCATGTACTCAAATCTCAATATACGCATTTACTTGAATAAAATAAGTAGCTTAAATAAGTTTTAACTGGTTTTTCTTTCAGCTTATTCGAGTAGAAATCGGTTATGTTTTCACAGTACCACATCCAATTGTTTCCCGTGATTCATTTATAGGAAGTGTAAGGTTAGTTGTTGAAATTTATGCAGAAAAGCAAAACAGATTTTAGACTGCAAAGACACGCACTATGATTAAGTACTCTAGTTATCCCAATGTAGCAAAAAAAGAAACATTTTTTTAGTTAGAATGTAAGTAAACTTTTTTTCCGATGTTTATACATTTTTGCATATATTAAGCTGTGTCAAACCTTTTCATCATTTCTCTCTCAACATTTTAGCAGCGAAAAATTGGTGAAAGGCGCTGCTGCTCAGATGTCTCACAGCACCTCAGGACCTTGTTAAATATTACAAACAGCTTCAACGAAGAACTTTGCAATCTGTTATTTTCCGGTTCTTTCTATGGCAGTTACGCTTTAAGCTGTGCAGAGGAACACTGGCTAGCAGGTTATTCCACGAACACCTTCACCAAGCATCAAACTAATACTGCTAGTGACTACATTCTTGATCCGAGTTGGAACTATCTGATTAAAGAAGACATGGATCGCCGTAGTCGGCTAGAGCTGCAAATACTAGACATGTTTTTCAAGAATATCTCTCCCCAAACTGTTTTAAAAGAACTCTTGCGACGTCACTTACGCAGCCTTTCCGCAGTACGTATGCAGCTTCGGCCAAGAAAAGTGGCAGGGCCCTCTACTGTTGCCCCTCTAGACGTCCAACTTCCGAGAGGAATCGAAGTGATTTCTACCTTTTCCCCAACAATATCATGTAATAATGAACTACCAGAGAGTATGCGATATGCATATGACAATGAACTGCTTGAATTGGGAGAGAGCGTAGCTTCTACCTTACAAAGGCTTGATTGGTTTTCCAACCACATGCAAGAAATTGTCAAGGTGAATCGAGCCGTAATTAGCACCTTTCAGCTTTCGCACGCAAATCTCTCACAAGTTCCACACACAAGGTGAACAAATAAGACTCATTTCGCCCCTTGTTTCATTATGCATTTAGTTTAAGTTGCTAATTTAAATTTTTGGTTAAATTTTATATATTTATGCTGTGTGAGGGCAAATGGTTTGGTAACTGCTTTTCTGTAATGCGACGTGAATAACTTATATAGCAAAAGCAGTTAATTTATTTAGCGTTGTTGAATTTTTACAGTTTATATTAATTTATACCTTTTTGTTTCTCTAACCCCAAAAGTGACACAATATAGAAAAGTAACTTAGAACGTTGGGAGTCGGTTCTAAACTTTAATACATTTTCCAATGGTGTTGTCCGGTTATTTTATTATCCGTATAGTAAATAATTTGTTTACATTGACACTAATCACGGATCTGCTTAAAATAATTACCAGTCATAAGCTTTTCGAAATAATAGTATGTATTCAAAAGCTGTAATTGCTTATTCAGCGAAGGTATTTTTGGCAAAAGGGCGAAGGAGTTTTGGTGTAATTTTCTAAGTCTGACCATGTGAAATTGCCATCAAAATGCTCTCTAGATAATTTGTGAGATGAATCAGTAACAAGTAAGTCCTGCTGTCATATTCAATGCAACCAATGATCAAGCGAGTAACGTCGAGCGGTATTCTAAAACATTTCATACGTTATTGACAATTCGGTATGCGCATAATTTAGGGTCAACCCATTTGATATCTGTCGCCAGATTACTAAAGAATTAGATAGGGTCTGAAAATCAGTTGACAAAACACCGCTCTCGTAAACTTTTCTTGCTGTACCAATCGCACTGTTCGTAGAACCGGTGTAAACTACCACATAAATTGCCAATACAGTGGAAGAAACTTTGGTGTGTGGGTCGTAATGCTGGGCGAATTTTTAGTAAACATTGATCTAGAAAAGTTAGATAAATAAATTTCTAACAAATATTGTTTTATGCAATCCAACTTAACTTTGCACCAGGTATATACAATTTGTTTTTGCAATACAAATAATACCAGCACAAATAATAAGCATATCAAACTACAAGGCAACAGAACTGGACAACACATAATAAATAATAAAACATTTTACAGCTAATTTCTGCACTGAATTGGCTAGTTTAGACATAACACATAAAACGAATTTTTTTCTGCCCAGCCTTGTATCCTTCTCAGTGCAAGTCGAAAGAGATGCCAGCACGATGGTCGCCCACAGCCTCTCTTCATTAGACAACTTGCTCAGTTCATTTAGTAAGTTTTTGAGTAACTATAGACAATGATTTTGTCTTTGGTGAACCTTAGCGGATAACCGACGTAATATTTGGTCAACCTGAGGATACAGTTGATTGCGGCATAGCCATATCACTGTGATACTGAACACGCTTAGAATGATTCTACTCTTTTTGAGAAAGAACTAGGATTTTGTTCTTTTTCTAAGCATATGATGTAGGATGACGTCACGTAAGATACTTAAGACATGTGCCGCGTTTTGCCATCAGTATCTACGATAAAGTAATAAGTGGCGGTATATTTGTGCTACTTTCTTTTAACTTGTTAACTACTAACGTAAACTTTAATAATACACCCTTTCGAAACTGATTATGGCTGAACATCAAAGCAACAGACATGGTCTAACTAAAACCGATGATGCTAAGATAAGCTATGCATACTGTGCAATTCTGATCTAAGTCCCACAACGGAAACTGCAAAGAGGCAAAAAAAGCTTGAATGAAATTTTAGTAACAGCCAGGTTCATTAGTGGAATGCGCTTATCGACAATTCCGTTGCAATTTTAAAAAAATATGACTGCCGCAAACCCACTGTTTTCCTAGCGAAAAGTTTTGTTTTCATGATAGAAATCAAGTGCATAAACCAGAAATGTAAGCCTAATGTATAAGCAAATAATTGCGTTGATGAAGCAAAAATGTTGAGGATATGCGGACAGCAGTTACAATGACACATGAGGAAAATAGCTTGAACCTTCTCATGTAAATACCATTTTTTTAGTGACAGCGTATCGAAAACTTTGCGCCGATGGCATTAATGCACCATAAGTTGTACAGTTCTACAACCTATGCAATCGCATCTGCAAGGGGAAACTTATAAGACCACGAAGCAGTCATTTAAGAGGCTGAGCGGTGTTATTTTACAGTTATAATACATAAAGTAGTCTACTCAAATAATGAACTTTAGTTTAATAAACATACGTCAACGCCAACAAACTCAAAATATCAGCCAATGTGCAATACGAAATATCGGATCTCATGCCTCATTTTCTTAATAGGGTTCAAAATCACTGAAGGAATGTTGCAGCTACCTAAGTTAGCAACAACTTTCAATATAGGATGAGAACTCCTTCTTCCTACTTCTTGTTCTCATACGGACAACCACTGACTATTAGGCAACTAAGCTAGACCACGCAGAGTATGTCGTAGATCATACAGCGGATGACTGTACTTTAAGATTAACGGTGTTACCAAGATTGGTTTTATCCAATTACAATGCGGAACAGGGTTTTCTAGTTCGTGGTACAGATGTCCGCTCAATTTTAAACCCACAACACATAAGTAGCAAATAAATGCAACGTCAATAAAACTTTGTAAGCAAGTGCCTCATAAATCATGTGGCTAATGATGCCAATTCTTATATAAGCCGATTGCACAACTGGAAGGAACCAATGTTCAACCCACGACACGCGTTCAGTACTAGACTGGTTGCAATCGTTCAAGTGAACTTGAACTTTGCACCACACCTACTAATTTTATTGTGGCACAGTCGTTCGAAAGTAATTGATAAAGAACTGTCTAATACTAGTAATTAATCAACGCCGACAAATCCAATGATTTTGGAACATTCACTGCAGATGAAAACGTGAGAACACATGAGAATGACCAAATGTTCTGGTATAGTCTAAAAAAGAGTCTTATCAACGGCACGCTACAAAGAATAGTTCTTTAATAAACAGCTATCTATAAGTGTATTTTATAGATTCCTGCCTTTTTCTACTTGAAAATCTAATGAAACATGGCAAACGAAATGACAAATTATTCAGTACCTTTTCATCCGTCGACTACGAACTGTTACTGCTTCCAGACCAATGTAGCAGCACTGCCTCGTCAGAAATTGCTAAGTATAAACCTGATTACTTTGTTTAACACAATTTTTATGAGGCTGTTCATTTTTGTGTGTGTGACATCCTCCAACAGTACAAGAGCGATTGCAAACGAATATAATCATTGGGGTTGGATCCTGAAAATACATCGTGCTGCAACTGTACTAAGCCTAGACTAAGTAATCGCACGCAACGGGATAGCACATGTATAGGTTAGTGAACTTGCTATATTCGCTTGATCTGAGCGAATAAAATAAAATAAAGTTTTCTCCTATTGCGGTTATATAACAAACAGTAAAGACTAATGAACCTACGAATAGTTTTGAAATCGTAATGATAGAACTTGGAACTGTAAGACGTAGAGTGGCCTGCGCAAACTGTACAGCTTAGTATAATGCTGTTTGGGGTTTCAAGGATATGTTGATGTTGCGAATTGAATACCTAAAGTATTTTGCAATGCAACTTTTCAGGGAAAGCCTGAGGAAATTTGCTTAACTAATTAAGTGTAGTGATTGGGTATAGAGATTTTTAGTCCACAAATGGGCAAACAATTTAGTAAATAAGCAAAGTTTTCTTTAGAATTTCAAGGTGGATTCGAAATAATCGCCAAATCTAAATGACAAGATACGGCTTTTACCAAGTTTGCCACAAGTTGCCTAGCGTCGTTATGGGGCAGCATGACGTGTCCTAGTTTTCCGGTATTTATTTGGATAGCTCTGATCAAGGGAGCATTTTTTCTATGCAGCTATTCCTGTCAACAGTGTGTTTTTCGCAGCGTTCTGCCAGCGAAACGTATCCACCTACTTCTACCAAACATAGTGCCTGATTACTTTGGGACGAGCCGTTTCCTTAGCCTACAGCTTGGCGTGTCTTTTGAACCTACATATTCCTCACTTTATTTCACGTTTAAATGAAAATAACTATTTTTAATTTCATGAGATAACATTTTGCAGAAAATTGTTTCGTGTGGTTGTATCATGCTCGGTGTCGGGTGTGAAATTAAGCAGTAGACTACGGGGGATTATCCAAATTGTTTTTGACTACCTCGTGTGGCACAAATGCTCACCGTTTTAAGTAAAATTAATTGTTGGTAAAATTTGCGGTACCGTCAATGAATTGTTGTTCAACTTCACGACGTATTGTCCGTATGTCTGGCTACCGTCTTCCGTTAAAAAACAAACATACGTTTTGCCCCGTAGTTGATAGATCCTTCGGATCAAGCCGTGTTGTCCGTATGCTGGTTACTGTTTTGAATTTGCCAAACAAACCTTAGTTCTCGCAGGCATAACATTCCCTACATAAAATTTACAAATATCCAGAACTCTATCCGTTCCTGGTTTACTACAGTGAAAGGCGATTAAATCAAATGAATAAACGTGGCCTATTGTTGCTTGAAATTTTAGATTAAAATATTGACATATTAACTCAAAATCAATTATTGGAAAACTGGTAGAGGAGTTTGTGAACGAAATGAAGCCCTTTCTGGTTATAAAACGATTTGTGCCGAACTATGAGAAGATAGCGTAAAAAACAAAGAAAAGATTGAAAGGGGTAGGTACAAGCATTATATATATATATACAACAAACATACGATATCCGCATACACCATGGTTACGATATTTTGTTATAGCAGTTCCGTAAAAGGATTTTTTTAATATGCATTTAATGTTCGTCATAGAGCGCGTCTGTTTCACAGGGTTTTAACGAGGTCCAAATTTTTTTATTAAAAAAGTTTAATGTCTTACAAATTGTGCAACCTGTTATGTGATGCCATTAAGTAGCTCAAATTGTCTTACCTAGTAACACTTAATTTTTTTCCCAGGGGTTTTCATGAAATTTTCACGTGTTGATTGTACTTACTGACTGTATATTTGGTCAGCGACCTGACACTGCGGCCTACATTAGAGACCCATAACGTAAATCCAGTATTTAAACCCAAAGAAAGAAACCGTAAGGTGGATGAGAGACACCTTTCATCTATCGACGCGGTCAACATGCCCAAAACATTTACATCTGCAGCAATATTATCGGTCTAATTGCAGAAACATGCGTTGGGGACTTAAAATGCGCGGAGGCTGGGCCGTATCCATTTCCACCATGTGTATCACCACTATTTCAGCTTAGCGTAGTCATGAGAACCGTTCACCTCGTCTACCTAAGCAAGCACGAACGTTCTGCATGAGTGAACACAACCAAACTGGCGAAGTTTCGGCAGGAAGTCATCTCGTTATCATCCACATCAAGCTTAGTCACGCCGATGGTATTAATCAACAAACAAACAACTAAATGTTAGAAACTCAAAACGAAGTCACGCACATCTACAGACAAACGTAGCGGATGTAGCGCATTCGCCATCCTGACCGCAATAATATCCTGGGTAAGTAAATTGAATCTAAAGCAGCTTGCTTACCAGTCCATGCACAGAGGATGCGTACTTACTTTAGTGGCTCCTGTATGATCCTAACAACTAGTTACCACGCAATACTTACCTAGATCCGGTTGTGTGAGGCCATAGATACTACACGTATTATAACCCCATGAACGCCAACTCCATGTGCTAGACCCCATCGGCGCTGGCTGCTTCCGTTTCGAACAATTCCCAGCAGCAAGCAGCATTTTCTCATGCGCTTGCTTAATCTTATTCTTGAGGTGGGCACGCCATTAGTTGCGATTGACTGACATGGCCTTACATCAAATTAAATCAAAATAGGGTCGTGATAAACGTAAGTTTATAACGTCCTGGTAGCGCTGCTTTGGTATGCCTCCGTTCTGCTTTCCATCTCGCAGTTGGCCACAGATCAAATGCATCGGTTTCCTTGTCTAATCCATACGCCCGCGACATTTTACATACTGCGCAGGTGCCGTAGCAGCGGTATGCAGCTCCATGCATACATTCCCATCGGTCGCATCTCTTTCGTGCCTACAATCTTGTCGCTCAAACTGGTTCGCAGAGTGCCACAAAGACATCGTTAGTGAAATCAATATAAAGTGCGGAGGTCCGCCCGGTACAGAGTCCACGTTTCGCAGCCGTTGAGGTAAACCGATATAATTATCGGATGTTGTACTGACAGCCTTAGCCCAGCGGGCAGCTGTTGATGCTTCTACACTTGATTTTTCTGCTTACAAAATGCAGCAGCCACCATTGATACGCGGATGCGAAATGCGCTG